TTCTGATTGGCTTATTCGAAAGGGCTATTACCAATAATTGACTGGAGAGCTATTGCCAGATCAGATGAGGTAAGAGGTCATTTTGACCTCGTTTCCCAGGGGACAGAACCAAAGCATACGTATATGGGTAATTGTTCAGGAACTAAGTACGTGAGAGTGTAGCTGTTAAGTCCTTGGTTCCCAGGGGAGGAGGGGAAGCACTATGGCACAGAGACTGAGAGGATTCAGAATTGTCAAAAATGGCTTCAGGATTGTCTTAAAGTCTTACAATACCAGCAGCCCTTTCAGGGGCATTTTGGAAAGCATAAGCAACAGTTGTTTAAAAACTAGTCTGCCTGAGGCTAACCATAATAGTTGGGGATAATAATAGAATAAACAACAAAACCAATCTTATTGCAACAATGTATGAAAAGGATCACACACCTAACCAAATAGAATGTATCCCAGGAATGTGAAAGCCATTCAACATAAAATCAACCAATATAATGTAGTAGTGGAGAAAAGGATAAAGCCCATAAATAAGATCTCGTTGGTGGGCACACAAAATAGCTCTTGATAAAATCCTACAATTGATTGAAACATGTGAAAAGTGTAACTAGAAGAGAACCAGATAAAAACTAACTATGGAAAACTATGAAAGACTTTTTTGCCCCAAGATCTAAATTAAGACAAATATGTTCACACCCTCGCTACTTCATCACTTTACTAGAGATAGTCATTAGTTCAGTTAGGTAAAAAGAACAAACCAGCATCCAGTTCAAAAAGGAAGAATTAAAATTCTATTACCAGATGACATAATCTGGTATCGAGAAAATTCTAAGGAATAAACAACAACCTAAGCTATTAGTTCTAATAAGTGAGATGGTTACAACTACAAATACAATATCAATATTCAAAATCAGTGAACAATAACCATGGAGGAGACATTGTTTTGAACTGAGCTCAGAAACTAGGCTTCAACAGACTAGACCAAAACAAAATAGTCACTTACACTGATGGTCACATAATCAAACACTTTAAGGATCCGGATAATACTCAAAGTAAATGAGTATTTTGGAGAACAGGAGGTTCAGTCTACCTGAGTCCACATAATAATGAAGTTCTCTGTATTTTGATAGCAGAAAAAGTAAATAGAAGTAACCTGATGTTAGCAATTTGCTTTTTTCTCTTTTGGTTTTATTTTCTTCTCCCTCCTTTATGTAGTCCATTGTTCTGCCATTGTCTAGTGGGAGCTTTCATTTCTAGTTGTAGAATACAGGTTGTCTCAATTTATGAATCATGACTAAAACCTCAATGCTTTAACTAAATTTGTTAAAATTTTATCTCTAAATAGTTTCTACTCCGAATCTCTAAGCAATCCAAAATTAAATTTGAAAAGAAATAGCATCGAAATTAATAAAGTGTTAACCAATAGAATTAAAGAATTAAGTGTAAGACATGAAAATTATAAGACATGGTTAGGAGAAATAAAGACCAAATAAATGAAAAGATATTCCATAATGATTAATTTAAAATTTTAGTAATGTTCAAAATTATATAACTAATATGTAGCAGAGCCAGGAGTTGAACCAATATATTTTATAGAATACTATAGTCTAAACCACTGTTAGGTGTATTTTACACTCATCTCTGGCCTTTACTGGCAGGCTGGTTCCTTAACTGGATAATATAATATGCTAACTGGAAACTGTTAACAGTATTTAATAATTCCATATATTCCACTTTCTAAATATGTGAGTAAAATTTTGATGCTTTTCCCACAGCAGTAAGTGATATGGGCATTTCTATCAGTGTGGCAAGGTCTATGAGCAAGATATGAAGAAATCCAGTTTTCTCTGTCTCATACCATACTACCCAAGGAGTCTCAGAGAACACGGTATTTGTGAGCTTAGCCCATAAAGTCAGCCGGACTAAGGTATCAGTTCTGGCTTACCTTCTACCAACAAATGTATCTTGGTGTCATTGTCATCATCTGTAAAATGAAAATGATACCAGTATTCTGTTCTACAAACTGTTAAAGAAACATGCAAACATGCGTGCCTGTGTGTCCATACACGTACTTACACTCCTGATGTTTCCCCATTGCTCTTAGTGCTAGTCTGCATTATTTATGGTGTCTCAAGATTAGATCATTTGATATGCTTTTTGACCCCTCCCTACCCCCAGTCTCATTTTTTATCACTTACAGCCAGCCTCACATTACAAGCTGCAGCCACACCAAAACTGCTTCCAAGATGAATAATACTCTTCTTCACGTCTTTTGATGCCTTTGGTTATATCATCCACTCTGCCTTAGTTGTTTTCTCCTGTTCCCTCTCTTCTCCTGTATCTAGCCATCTTCTACACATCCTTTATACTCCACTCAGGTGCTGCCCTACCCTTCAGGAAGCCTCATTTGTGTTGCCTGTAATGCCCCGTTCACACCCCTTGCAGTTCCTGTGCTGCACGGTTGTAAAACTGTCTTGGGAGGGTAGTCTTTTGTAGCGAGCTACATGGAATCACACCTGATGGAGATGTATAATCAACTCCTGAGATGGCTAAAGTCTGACCTATGCTATGATCACACAATGATCATCAGCTGCTTGCATATGCGTGGGCCTATGGGCAGTGCCCACCTGGCTATCCAGGATTGGCAGCCCATGCCTACTTAAGGGCTGGGAGAGGTTTGCCCGGAGAATGGAGAGAGAGAGAGAAAGTGAATAAAGTCCTGAAAACTGCTGCAAGAAGAGCTCCGGGTGTTGTGTTTTTCCTTGCTGGTCGAGGGTGGATGTGACAGTCTTTCCTTGCACATTCATGTTGCTGTCCATCACAAAAGTGTCCCCCTTTCCTCCTTGGCTGTTTGAGGACAGCCACCATCATGAATGGCACTGTAATTGTCAAGATCAGGAAATTGATGACCAACCACCTACCTCAGAAGAAACAAATGGTTGTCTATGCCCTTCACTCTGGAAAACCAACAGCACTGAAGAAAGAAATTTGGCCACTGCTAGCCAAAATACATAAGACCATACCAGATGTCATTGTTGCATTTGGATTCAGAACCCATTAACGGTGGTAAGACAACTGGATTTGGCATGATTTATGAATCCTTTAAATGGGCAAGCAGAATGTGCCCAAATACAGATTGTAAGACATGATCTATTTGAGAAAAAAAAAAAAAAAAAAAACAGTGCAAGGAACACAAAGTCACATTGAACAAAGGTCGTGGATTGGGCGTTTGCGAAGGCCAACATTAGAGCTAGCAAAAAGGAAGAAGACTAAAATCCTGCAGTGACTTAGTCTGCCATGATGAGGCACATTTCGAAAGAGAGAACTAATAAACTAAAAACTTAAAAAAAAAAAAAAAGGCATCCCACTCTTCATACACTGTGCTCCTCATGAGACTAAATACTCTCAATTTTTCTCATTGCATCTGAAGTTCTAGCTTTACCCTCCATTTTTCCTATATCTTCTTGGGTTTCTTTAGCATAGTCTGTGATGCCTAGAAAAGTAAAAAGGGTCTATGATTTTGTGTATGAATTGTGGAACGGAGTTATAGGTACATAATATAAATTATAAACATATGGGTGAAACGACGTCAGAGAATAAAATTATTTTGGAAATTAGAAAGCATTTGATATATTGTGTATGAGAGTGCTTTGCCTTTGTGTGTATATGTGTGCCACATATGTGCCTGGTGCCCACAGAGGTGAGAAGAGAACATTAAATCCTCTAGAACCGGAATGTTACAAATGGTTGTGAGTTGCCACGTTGAGACTTGGAACTGAACCCAGGTCCTCTGCAAGAAAAACAAGTGTTCTCAAACACTGAGCCGTCTCTTTAGTCATAGAGATTATTTTTCATAGTTTCATAATTTTCATCTGCTTTAAACCTAAAAACGTATGGTGACTTAGAAACAAGAGAATTTTCTCATACATGTAATGGTTCAATATAAACATTCTTGGTCAGCATGATAGTTATCTTCCACATGGATAATGAGGGGCATGAACTCACAAAAGTCCCCAAATGGGGTAAGGTCACAGGAACAAATGGAAACCGTCTATGGGCCAATCCTTCAACTGTCACACATCATTTCTATTCCTATGCCATTAATGAGGATTTAGTCACATGGCCAGGAATGCTGGGAAATTGTCTACCCATGTGCTCAAGGAAAAGAAGGATTCAACTGAGAATTTCTGATCATTGGAAATGTAATAGTAGGGTTGAGATCGTTTGCCTTAACAGGTTTCTGTCCTCTCTACTAGTATGCTATGCCGTGTAGCTATGTTAATCTGCCCCCTGGGAAGCTTGAATAGTCAAATGTAGGCAGTATTTCAAATCATTGGTTGACAGCTGAGCTCCCTATTGAGTCACTTACCAGGAAGTAGCAGCTGCAGGGTGACTTGCCTTGCTGATTATTCTTTAATCATTAATCACTGACACTTTGTAAATGGCCTTAAGTCAAATCCCAGCTGGGTTAGTATACAATATTATAGTGTTGGCCCCCAAATATTTTTTCCCCGTGTTGTATATCTAAGCTAGAAAGGGTATTAAGTAGATAGCAAAGTAGCAACACGATTTGTTGCAATCCAAAACAAAATGGGGAAGAGGCGAAATTAAAAAGGGGACCAATTTCCATTTCAAACCATAGCCACAGGCACAGCTTAGTCTCCAGCAGTTTGTGTTTCCCCAAACCAACTGCACACTTGATGGTGACCGCATGTAGGTGACGGGAATACGTAGAAGCAAATCAGTCTGAAATAAAAATCCCCATGATCCTCAGCTGAGAGGCACGCATATTCCCAGGAAAATTTAGAAAACTGATGTCCAGGCGCTATCTCTCCACACCTTAAGGACTCCGTCAGGAATGGACCTGGGAATTAAATTTTTCAATGTGCTTTTCATGATTTTCAGCCTCCACTGTGAGGAGAAGACAAGAACATATGAACATTGACTTTTTCCTGGACATCTTAGGTACCTAACGTGTTTGCTCTCTCTGTCTCTCTTTTTTTTCCCCCTAGTTTGTTGCTCAGCCAAACTGCCAACAATTGCTTGCCACTTTGTGGTATGATGGCTTCCCTGGATGGCGGAGAAAGCACTGGGTAGTCAAGCTTGTGACCTGTGTGACCATTGGCTTCCTGTTTCCTATGCTGTCTATTGCCTATCTGATCTCACCCAGGAGCAACCTTGGGCTCTTCATCAAGAAGCCCTTTATCAAGTTCATCTGCCACACAGCTTCCTATCTGACCTTCCTCTTCATGCTCCTCCTGGCCTCTCAGCATATCGTCAGGACAGACCTCCATGTACAAGGGCCTCCCCCAACTATTGTGGAATGGATGATTCTGCCTTGGGTTCTAGGTGTGTGAAACAGAACAACAGTAATGACCAGGCTGTTTTCTAGTCCTCCTTAAAAAAAAAAAAAAAAAAAAAAAAAACACTGGAACAAGTCTTCAGAGTAGCTCTGAGCTAGGAGCCCCCCCTCCCCCAGTAGGCCTTTGTTGAGAATCTAAGAAATGTGGTTTCTTCGATCCTAGGCATGGGCCACTGGAAACCAGGCATGTTCTCAGTGTTTCCATCTGCTCACATAACATCTCTTAGGATGGAGGAAAACTGCTTGTTATGGTTTAGGGGAGAAAGCTTTGTGTTCGTCCATATAGGCTTCAGGTAAACTGGATCAGGCAAGCACTAAGCATTCTTCTTAAAGCGCCCTCTCCCATAACCAGGAAGCACATGGATTCTGTTGATGTCTTGTGATTGTGTCTACTTCACACCATCCTAGCACCTGTTCAGGTTCCATGTTCTATTTGGATACCGATCCCATAGTCAGCAGAGAAATTTGGGAAATTCCCACTGGCAACAGTGAAGTTGATGTACTTGTGTCTCTAAGCCTAATTCGATGTTATCAGACTATCCAGTACATGCCATCTTCTAAGTCTTTATCACCAGACTATGAACCCCAAGCTAGCATTATGAGCATCACTTGGGATTTTCTCAGAGACAGCTTAAGTGCTACCCTGGTTCTGGAAGTTAACAGCATCCCCTTAGAGGTTCATATGTAAAGTCTGGGAAGTGACGAGCTTGACCAAAACCACATACTTTCACTGAAATATCTCTGTCATCAGGCAAAACTCCACAAAATACCAACATGATGAAAGGAACACAGAGAAAATAGGATCCTAAATTATTTGGGTCCCCAATGCCTAGATTTATCACTTACATCTGGCAATTTGGTCCCTGGTCGACCTACTCACCTCAAAACCCATGGAGAGCTTTTCTCCTTAGCACCCAATGGAAAGTAAGGACCATGGAATAATACTGATGAAGCCAATTTATTACACTCCAAAATGGGAAAACTGTAGAGTACAGTGCCTTAAATTTCAGTAGCTAAATCAACTTTAAGACAAAATTGATACAGCATCCAATTAAGAACAAAGTGGACGATAAATATTTCAAGAAGCATTTATCATCCTTAGCCATCAGGGAAATAAAAATTAGAATTACTCTTAAATTTTTCTCATCCTACTCATAATGGCTGTCATCACAAAAGTAAGGGATGCCATGTACTGGCAAGGGTGTGGGAAAAGAAGAAGCCTCATTGGCTGATGGTAAGAGACTTAAGCAGGCAATGTGAAAATCAGTGTGTCAGTTTCTCATGAAACTGTACTATGCCTAGCTCAGGTACCCAAAGGACCCACTATCCTACCATAGAGACACTTACACTTATACTTCTATGTTTATTGCTGCACTGTTGGCAACAACAAGGAAATGGAACCAACCTAGATGTCCATCGACGTAGATAATTAAAAACAGGGTACATACACATAATGGAAGTTTATTCAGTTGTGAAGAATAATAAAATTGAAAACTCTAAAGGAAATGGGTAGATTCCAGAAATATTCCATTGAATGAGGCTACCTAAACTAAGAAAAAAATAAGTACGTCATGTTCTTTTATATGCAGATCCTTACTTTTAATGGTCTGATAAATATATGAGTGTTGAGTGTGAATAGAGGTCATAAAAATAGAAAGAAAACCATGTGAGAAAAGAGGGTATTGAGGAAGAGGAACTAGAACACATGGGACTTGAAAGCGGAAAGGAGTAGAAGGGTAAAGGAGGAAGAGAGGTGAGTGAGAAGCGGGGTTAGGAACAACAAAAGCAAATTATAATTTATGTCTCAAAATGCCACGATGAAACCTAAGACGTCATATGTAAATTTTGAAAAATGAAAGTGAAGAGTGCCTAGAGGAGTGAAAAGCATAAGTTTGACAAATTCAAACTTGGGAGGTTGAGTAGACAAAAAGAGACCTAAGTGATCTCCACCTCTCAGAGTCTCACCCACTCAGTCAAGTGCATTCATGAATCTCCTCCTTATTCACTTGGGGGACGCCTGTTGTAATGTTCAACACTGCCTTGATAAAGTAATAAATAAACTTCTTGCCTCCATTCTTCAGGTTTCATTTGGGGGGAGATAAAGGAAATGTGGGATGGTGGATTCACGGAATACATCCATGATTGGTGGAACTTAATGGATTTTGCAATGAACTCCCTCTACCTGGCAACTATTTCCTTGAAGATTGTGGCCTATGTCAAGGTAAAAATGAAATGTGTAGCATTTTTCTTTCTCAATTATTTTGGATGTGTTGTGTCAATAAACTTTTGAACTTGGAGCAGTAAGTGTTAATAAGAAAAATGAATGAGTGTTCCATTAATGTTAGAAAATCCTACAGAGACTCAATAGTCTGTAAGTAGTGTCTACTTAAGCAAAGCCAGTGAAGAACAAAAAATTTTTTCAGATGAATCCTTAAGCTTCTCAGACTTCATGGTAGAGCTGTCTTCACCTTTCAGTGCTTAAACATCAATAACGTTCTTCTGAAGGAGATGGCACGCTGATATAGTACAAGGTAGGGCCAGGAAATTCACTAAATCCCTTTCCTCCAAAAAGCCTCTAGCTGTTTTCACTTTAGTAAAAACCAGTCATTGCATATGTAATTAGCATTTTCCCATGCCATATCCATTAGGAACTCCTCTTCCCCGTGGAGACATACAGAATAAAATGGTTTCCCTTCTATAGTTGTACCTCTGGTATAGGTAAGGTCAGCTCTCCTTTACCTTCGGAGTCATTGGTTCCCAAAGCCAAACATCACCACTTCCCTCAACATTCTTCATATGAGAAGCAGCAAAACCCCAGAAGCTGTGTGGCACATAGGTCTACAGTAGCCTCTGCTTTCTTTATTACTTCTTCTGTCAGGATAACCATTTGATCAGTTACAAACCCCAAATTTTCAGTATCCCTCTACCAGTTCAGAAAAATATATACACTGTGCACACCCTATCACTTGGATCCTTTCCCTGCGCATGAGCACCTTAGGTTATCCAGAAAATTGTTTTAAAATGTGCACAATTTCAATTTTTAATGAGATCTGTAAGTGAGTAATGTCTGGTTGCTCATCCACAGAGATACAGCCCATGTAAGATGACCTTCCCCAAGCCAAAGGAGACAAGTGTGAAGGAAAAAACGTTCCAGGAACCTCTTCACAAGCCCCTGTATTTGGGGATAATCATAGGTCTGAGTTCAGGTCTGGTACTTAACAGAATATGTGGCTGTGCTCCTTCAACCTAGAGTTGAGTTTTCCCCCCATCATTAAAGACTGACAATTCATTCCCCAAGATGTCTAGTCAGTCCTGCTTTAGATACTAAATTTCACTTTGAGGACTTTGAGAATGGAAATATGGCTGTCCCCCAAGTCTCCAACAACTTAGTTTATTTTTATATCCCTAATATGCATATTGCATAAATTGCAAGACCTTGAGAGTTATATAGAGCATGAATATTGAATGCATTCATGAAACATTTTTGAAAGGAGCCCAAGAGTATGCCTTATGTGTATGGTGATCATTTAACACAGACTTACAACTTTCTTAGAAGAAAAGCCTGGTGAAGACAATGTTTAACTCTCTGGTTAACGCTGCCTGGGTTAACTCCATGGCACTCTTTAGCCAAGTCATACAATTTTCCCTTAAAATTACATTGTATGCATGTATAAAATTAATAAAAATATTATATTTTTATATTTCCTTAAGAAGTAGAGAAACTATAACTTATAAATCTTGACATTGCTAGGTTTTGTTTAAGCAGGAAAGTTTAGAATGCTTGATGAAAAAAATCCCTTCTATCTGGGGTATTAAAACGTGTCTCCAGATACTCAGCATCAGTTAATCATACCATCTTCCCAATTTCACTGGTAAGGCTTCCAAAGAGCTAAATATTTCTCCATCACAAAGCATACTAAACTCACTCTGCTAAGCCCAGAAAGTCTGCCTCTTACTACTCTAAGGAAACATAAATAAGACATGTCACATGCAGAATTTGAATTTTTTTATTTCAAGACAGGATTTCTCTGTGTAACAGCCCTAGCTGTCCAGAAACTCGCTTTGTAGACCAGGCTAGCCTTGAATCATAACGTTCTGCCTGCCTCTGCCTCTTGAGTGCTAGGATTAAAGGCATTACCACCACACCCAGCCAGAATTTGGATTTTTAAAACATATTTATGTGTATGAGTGTTTTGTGTGCATATGTTTAGTGACCATAAAGACTAGAAGAGGTGGTCCTATTCTCTAAACTTGGAATTACAGGCAATTAGTTATGAGCCACCATGTGGGTGTTGGGAATTGAATGCAGGTCTTCTCCAAGAGCAGCGAGTAGTCTTAACCACTGATCCATCTCTCTAGCCCCCAGAACTTGTAAGGGGAAAGAGTATGGTCCTCTCATCCACAAAAATGCAATCAGTTTAGACATTCCCCGAGAAGGATGAGACAACCATTAAGACTGAAGTCACATCCAGTAGTGATGGTGCACACCTTTAGTCCCAGTACTCAGAAGGCAGAGGAAGGCAGATCTGTGTGAGTCTGAGATCAGCCTGGTCTACAGAGTGAATTCCAGGACAGCCTGGACTACACAGAGAAACCCTGTCTTGAAAAAAAAGTTACAAAAAACATTCCACAGACCCCTTAGAAAACTTCAAATCACTGTTGTTTGGAGTCAATACAGAACTGTACTGAAATGAGATGAATCGACATTTTAAAATTCCTTAATTTATTAATTAATTTATTTTTAACTGTGTGTGCATGTATGTCCACATTTGTGAATGGATGTTGTTAAATGTCTTCCTCAATGGTTCTCTACCTTATTTTTTGAGACATGGTGTCTCCCTGAACCTGAAACCATTTCAGTTAGCAGGGTTGGCCAGCATGACCCTGGGATCTATCTGTCTCCACCCCCCTCCTAAGCAGCAGGGTTGTACCACTGCATTTGACTTTGACATGACTGCTAGGGATCTGAACGTGGGTGCTCTTGCTTTCACAGTAAGCACTTTACCCACTAAACCATTTCCCAGATCCAGATTTTTCTTTATTTATTAGAGTAAAAAAAAATTAACAACACATACTTCACCTCACAGGGATTAAAGCAACAAGAACCAAAAGATGTTCACCAATGTAACCAAAGAGAACAACTCTACATATGTTTGACCCTCAGTGCCCACACACCCCTTCAAATGGAGAAGCATCAGCATTTCAGCTTCTAGCATATCACTTAGGTCACCATGACCCAGACACAGACTGAATGTGGACTTTACTGAGTTGTGGGTATTTCTTCGATATTTACTTTAGTATAGATGCAAATGCCTCTCCATGTTCACACCATAGTCAAGTTCCCATGTCAGGCTATTCCCCTTCAGATTTTACTTTTGGATTAACAGATTGTAATCCACATCTCTTTGAAAAAAATGAGGCCAATTTCAAATGCCAATCCATTTCAAAGTATATAAGGAAAGTCATTTACTTCCCAGTATCAATTATCTAGCTTCTGGACACAGGGATCTGGTCCCTGCTCACACTTGTGAGCTAGATCACCACCAGCCAATCCCTCTGCCTCTCAAAGCCTCAGTCCTGCCTCTGATAAATAAGCAAATTAAACTTCATTAGTGGTTTTCAAGTTTTGTATTCTATGGAAACATTTCATCAAGCAGATATTACACAGAACTGCAATATATAAAACAGCCCAAAGGGCTAAGTTTGGCATGAGCAATGTATCATCTCGCCATCTTTTTTGACTCCAACAACAGCCATGAGATGCCTCCATTAAACCCTGAAGGTCTAAGAAATACAGTGTAACATTTACAATATTAGATGTAATTAATAGCTACAATTTAAAATTTACAATACAATATTACAAAATTAATATGGGTTATTAAACTATGGTCAATGGACCAAGTTTGACTCACTGTCTCATACATTTGCCTATGTATTGTCTTTGGCCATTTTAGTGCTACAAAGGAAGCAAATGTTATGAAGTTGTGACAGAGACCCTCAGTTGACAAAGCTCAAACTATGCACTATCTGACACTTGACCGAAAATGCTGTTGACATCTGGGCTAGATGAACTCTGAGCTAATCATCCCCCTGCTAAGGTGCTGTTCTTCAGAGATATAAGATGCAAACTAGAGATGTCTCGGGGGAATTGTCTTTTATACTTCTGAGTATCCTACACACTCAGATTCGCCATCCTGTGGGTAACAGATTTCCCTGTGCTGGAGAGACAGAATAAAAGTAAAATAAATTATAGACTGTACATATGCCATCTGATTATTTCTCATTTTAAAACATGGGCCCGGTTTGGTTTCAGCAAATAATCTCCACCTCTCACATAGATCTCACAATGTGTAGCAACCTTTGTAACATCTGTGTTGCGAGATCAACCCCCATGTGAATGACATTTTATGGAAACAGTGCTAGACTTAATGTCGAGATATGTGGGGTTCTGGCTTTATCAGCAAATTTGCTGTGTGATCTTTAGCAAGTCACTCTGCCTCTCTGGATTTCAGTTTCTCCGCTTGTGAGACCAGCATACCACCCACTTGCTCACGGCGATGTAGCATCTGTTTTTGGTTTGCTTTTTTCTTTGAAGGAAAATGTAGAAAATATGGAAAATTTGGCTATGATTATACAAACTTGTTCAGTCACCAAAAGGACTATGTGAAACAGGAGCACACATGTGGTGTGGTCTCTCTTATTCCTCTGACAATGAAGAATATTGGCCTCACACAAGTGATTTTAACACCATCAATTTTATTGGTTGTTGGAAGTGAATCACACTTGAGAAATACAAGATAATTTGGGCCCCAACACATTTTCTCAGGAAAGTCATCTACATTTAGTCCTAGAGAAATCTGGGATATTTAAATGAGAGTATAAAGTAATGGTGCTTCAGACTGAATCCCAGGCAAAACCCACCTCTGTCCCTGGGAAGGGTTAACAATTAGTCCGTTATATTTCCATACCATCCTACCTCCTGGAGTATAGAGACTCTTGCACATAAACACAGTACCACAAACAATACAGCAGGAAGGAGTGACATTAGCAGCCTTTTATTGTGAAGGTAAAATTACAGGCAGTTTTAAGTGACAATTTCCAAACTGGAGTCCAGACTTTACCATCCCACCCTTTTCTATGAGGGTATTCTCCACATTTCAAAAGCTAGAGGCCTTCAAGAGGGTGGAAATGGGCAACCAACCCTATAACTACTAGCTATTCCCTCTCCTTCAACTTCCTGGTTCTTCATTTGCACTGGGAGGCCTTTCTAACTTGTAAGGTTGTTAAAGAAACAGTAAAATACATCCATATGCTGCTATGTAGAGAAGTACTAAATTTGCTACCTGGAAGGTTGACATGCCATTTGCAATGGTGTAAAATATATTACAAACTGCTAAAAATGCAGCAGAAAGCTCTGAAGAAAGGCTCCCTAAGGACTCTCTATCAGCCCTAAAATGTAGGCAGCAGAGCCTCGAGAATGAACACTGAGGAGGTTGTATCTATCTATTGTCCTTCAGCAGCTTCAAATTGACCATGTGTTCGAGTCAATGAGGGGGGAGCATAGATCTGAATTGAAATCTCACCAAGAAGAGGAATAATTGGTCCCTCCTAACTTGAGCACCCCAATGGCTCCTTTTCAGCAGCACACAACAACAGTCTGGTAAACTCACAGTTAGAAATGTCTGTTGATAAACCCCAGGTGGCTGCTGCAGATGATGGCTCTGAAATTCCTTCTGCTATGTATATATGCTTGGTATATATTTGGAGAAGAGTAGGAGGGAGAGAGTTATTAGCACTGTGTACTGATTGAATGGGGCAAAAATGACAAACAAATAGTGCCATGCACGGGGGAATTTTATGTAAGCTGGGTGTCGGGTGCATGTTTTGTGTGTGGACGGGTACAAAGGGGAAGATTTGGAAAGGCTCACTGTACTTCTCATATTGTGCATTTCTGTTGTTTTCTTTTTCTTTTTCAGTATAATGGTTCTCGTCCAAGGGAGGAATGGGAAATGTGGCACCCAACTCTGATTGCAGAGGCGCTCTTCGCAATATCCAACATTTTAAGTTCCTTGCGTCTCATATCCTTGTTCACAGCCAATTCCCACTTAGGGCCTCTGCAGATCTCTTTGGGACGCATGCTGCTCGATATACTCAAATTCCTCTTTATCTACTGCCTAGTACTGCTGGCTTTTGCCAATGGACTGAACCAGCTTTATTTTTACTATGAGACCAAAGCTATCGATGAACCTAACAACTGCAAGGGGATACGGTGTGAGAGACAGAACAACGCCTTCTCCACGTAAGACTCGCATCTCTCTTTTGCCTTCTTTCTGTCTTCTTATTGTTCTATTTTTCATGGCAATTTCATCAGTATCTCTCGATGGGCTAGCAGGGCTCTCTGCAGATCTACCCAAAGGGTCTGGGGTAGGAGAAAGTTCTTCTTTCAACACAGAGTACTAGGAAAGTAGCATGAGAAGAGAAAGAGATTTAACAGAGACAGAGAGAGCCTTGCAATAACTCCAGAAAAATGTACTTCTGAGTACTTTTTGTAGCATTCAAAAGAATGGCAGTCACAAGACAAGTGAAAATGCAAGACTATTCCTAGGAACTCACAACCACAAAATTAACTTGACAACTGTAAGTCAAGCTCAAAGCAAAGGAGACAAAGGTGTCTTAATACATCACTACACTAGGATAGAGTGGATAGGCTTGGGGCAAGATTATAGTCAGCTAGCCTACTAGGCCAATTTAGGGATGGAGGCGGGGGTTGATTGGAAATGCCTGTGCTCCCATTTTGGATGTAAAAGGAAGTTTATCACTCTTTGTCCAGAAGTTCACAGTTTCTAGGCAGATAAAGTCTGTGCCTTTCATTCCTTCTGTGAAGACCGCCTTTGGAAGTTTTTCACTCCCTAAACAGCTTGAGAAAGATAGTGGAAATAGAGAAGAGGGGGAAAGCAGCAGCTAGATGATGTGACACAGTTGGGTGGCTGAGGCAGGAGGCTCATGAGCTTGAGAAGAGCCTTGGCTACACAGTGAGACCCTGTCTAAAAAGAGCAAAAGCAAAAAAAAAAAAGAAGGGAAGGAAGGCAGAGGGAGGACAGATAATTCATGCAATTTTCTTAGGTTAGAAGCTGCATTATGCATCAGTGTGCGTTAACTTTGTCCATCTCAAGATCCATTATGGAGACCCAAAGCTTGTTCATAATTCTCAATCATGAAACAAAGAATTCATCTTTTACATTTTTTTTTGTTTTTTAACAAATAATTGCACATATAAAATTTATACAGATCTTGCAGGTACAAGGTGAAGTCATGATATATGAACACACAAAGTACAATGATCAAATCTGCATAATTAGCATCCTCACCAATTCAAGTATTTCTCATTCCTTTGTGGTGAAACACGCAGAAACTATTCTAGCCAGTTTAAAATGTACAATGTGCTATTCTCATCTGTAGTCTCCCTATTGTATAACTGATTACCAGAACTTCTTGCTCTGATCCAACTGCAACATTGTTTTTGTTGGCCAACCGCTCCCACCCTTCCCACTTACTGCTCTTCCTCAGTCTCCAATAGCTACCGTTCTGTTCTGTGCTTCTACAATATCAACTCTTTTACATTTCATATACTGGGGAGATCATGCGGTCTTGGTATGGCTAGCTTGTTTCACTTAACATTAATATACTTTGCGTTAATTTATGTTTCCACGGATGTTAGAATTTTAATATTTTATGGCCAAATAACATTCCAGTGAATTTGTGAGTCCTTTAAACATGTGTGTGTGTATGAGAGAGAGAGAAAGAGAGAGAAAGAGAGAGAGAGAGAGAGAGAGAGAGATCACATAAATGAAGGCATAATTCTAGACATTGATTCTCTCCTTCCAATATGTGAGTTCTGGAGCTCAAACTCAGGCCATCAGGCTTGGTGACAAGCACTTTTACTCACTGGGACATCTTGCTGTCCATTTCATTGATTTTTTTTTCTTTTACTCTATAGGTCAGTTCAGTGAACTTTGACATTCTAGAAAAGTTTTTAGTAACCACAGCCAGGTCAGGGGTGGTAGCCTATGCCTAGAATCTCAGCACTTCCAGGATGAGGTAGGAGGAATACAAGTTTGAGCCCAGCCTCGATTACCCAGCAACTCTCTATTTCAAGAACAACAAAAAAGGGCCAGAGATAAAAGGAGTCTGCTGCTGCTGCTGCTGCTGCTGCTGCTGCTGCTGCTGCTGCTGCTGCTGCTGCTGCTGCTGCTGCTGCTGTTTGGAAACAAAGTCTCACGTTATTCCAGACTGGCTTTGAGCTTTCTATATAGCTGATGATCACCTTCAATTCCCGGTCTTCGTGTCTCCACCTCCCAAGTGCTAGGATTACAGGTTTTCGCCATCATACCCAGTTTTGCAAAGGTATTTTAACCTGATCAAATATATTCACAGGAAAAAAAATCAGTGTTTTCTCTCCTCCCCATATGATTTGCCTCTAGCTGTATTTCCTAAAGTGAGTTATAGAAATCCCTCAGTTCAATCGATTGGTAATAGGCATGAAAATAGAATCTGAGGTGAGATTTATTTTAGAAATGTTCAGACAAAATTTGAAAGTTCTCTTCACTGTGGGAAGTCTCGGCATCCTTCCACTGTGAATCTCCCTCATGGGAAGATGAAGAGGTCTTCCCAAATATGTTGTCTCTAGACATGCTTCCTCCCTCTTACCTTTCACATGATCTCTCCAGTGAACATGCTGGAGTGAAGCATGTTGGCTCATTCCATTGCACACTGCAGCACTCCTCACCTCCACCAGGCTGTAACCCACCTCTCCTCCCAGAGGCCAGAACAAAATCTCCCAGAGTGGCTTGGTCAAGAATTAGCACTGTGTTGTTAAGCCACGCAAGTCTAGAACAGTAACTTAGCACCTTGCTGAAGCTTCTTCACTAGGAACTTTGCCTTCTTCTCTTGCAGGACTCTGGAGACAGAACTCATAACCACCTAGTTTCATTAAAAAGCACAATTCTGCAGTGTCTTTTGCACCAAGTGACAGCATTATTCCCATAAAAGTGTTCCAAAGCATGGAACAATTGAAAGCAAGGTGCTTCTCAGGAAGCCGGGCTCTCACCAATTCTCCATCCCTGTGAGTTCTGCCAAGGAAGTGTGTGAAATGCCTCCCTGCAAGTTTGTAATAATTATTAACACATGTGTAGCCAATGGATATGTTGTTCCCATCCTATCATTTGTTTAGCAGAAACTATCAACAATAATGGGCATCTGCCATACATGAAATTATGTCCCTGAGGTATCAGGTATGAAGGCACATTGTCATGTTAGACCCAAATTAGCAGTAATGTCATTTCAACTTTCCCCCTATCTTTGGATTTGTTTTCTGATTCAAATTTGTTTTAAACACTTTGACTTTGACATTGATAATAATACCTATTAAAATGCATGCTGCTCGGCTGGAACATCAGAAAGACAGCTTTTTATAGAAGGAGAACGTGAGGTTGTTTAGATTCCTCATGAAAATGTTGGTGTCTGCCCAATGTTTCCTCTCCCCTATGATTCTCCAGGAATACCATTGCTTCTGTTCTTTAAGATATGGCAAAAGTTCTTTTCCCCTTGAAAAGTATTTTGTGAGGAACACGATGATACACTTGCTGACAACGCCATGGCAACACTGTTGTTGATTTGAGCTCCACATTCCACACTGGGAGTACCAGCCCTTCATCTGCTCTTGGAAGAGGCAGTTGGGAAGGCACCTTCACTCTCTGGGCATAGCATTTGTGAGGGTTACAGAGTGATAGTGTAAATATGCTAACCTGAAAGTCCTGCATCTGGTTTCAGTGGTCCAGACACTCATCTACAGATGCCTCCTGAAAACCCCTGACTCTTCATTCCACAGGATACTCAAGATACTGAATGTCCACAACTAAATCACTTATGTTCATGTTGTCATTCTAACTTATTTTCATTTATTTCCTCAGCTCAGTAAATGACAGCAGCCAGGGTTCTAGCAGTCATTTGACATTCATACACTATTCTCATATTCTTCACGTAACATCCAGGGTTTCAACTCAGCCAGTCAGTTGTACTTTCTAAAGCTCCTGAAAAACACACACACAGAGAGAGAGAGAGAGAGAGAAAGAGAGAGAGAGAGAGAGAGAGAGAGAGAGAGAGAGAGAGAGGCGGCGGGGAGAAAGTTCAGATCTAAATCCTAAGAACTCCAGCAATAGCCTCTTAACTGGTCTTTCTGCCTGCAATCTTATCTCCCCCTCATAATAATCTCCCCACCATGTGGAAATTTCTTTGTGAGTCCCAGTATCATCTCATCACCCCCTGGCTCCACGCCTATCCAATGTCTGCTGTTCTCCACTGCGAACCCTGCCTCTTTACCGTAGTGTAAGTTTACACCATGTCTCTACATGCTTCCACTCTTCTCCTTCATAGTCAATATTTTCTGCTCGCCAGATAGGAAAAAAAAACCTTCTTGTCTCAGTTGCATGGGCCTCATACATGATGCATCACTCCCTTTGCCTGGAGTGCCTGTCCCCACTATCCAGGTTAGATTTCTGTTGCTGTAATAAGTGGCTCTGAGCTAAAGCAGCTTGGAGAAGGAAGGCATTATATCACCTTACCCTTTGAAGTCATAGTTCATCATTGTGGGAAGTCAGTGCAGGAACTCAAGGCAGAAGCCTGGAGGCAGGAACTAAAGCCGAGACCATGGAGGAATGATACTTACTGCTTGGTTCCATATTCATGCTCAAAACAGTTCTTAAACAGCCCAGGCCCATCTGCCTAGGGATGATACTGCACACAGTGGGCTAGAATCTCCTACATTAATTAGAAATTGGTAAAATGTCCTTACAGACAAGCCCACATTCAGTTTGATGGAGGCAGTTCTTCAGCTGAGGTTCTTTCCTCCCAGTTGTGTCAAGCTGACAACTAAGATTAGCCATCACACCTACCAAATCGGCAGGCTCTTCTCTGGCCTTATAGAATCTAACAGTGTCACTTGCTCTAAAGCCTTTTCTCACCCCCCTTCAACTGTGGATTTCTTGTATTGCACTACAGTATTGTAAATACGTCTTCTGTAATATGTAACCATCTGCATTTTAGTTATCTGTCTCTGTCTCCACTAAACTGAGACGTCCATCATAACCAGGTTTGTACTCACCATACAGGGGCCCAGAACATAAACATATTCCAAAGGTCCGTCAATAACTGAAACAATGAAGACTGGTAATAACTATCATTTCTAATATGGAGATAGATTTACATGCATGCAAACATAAGAAATAATATAAGATAACCTAT